TGTAGATACTGCATGAAGGTAAAACTCGAGAAGCCTCCTGCTAAATGGCTTTGCTATGTCTGCACTGAAGAAGGAATTGGTTCCTTGAAAAGGAAACCAGAATCCTTTTATGATTTCTTTAAGGTATGAAAAAAATTATTTGTTGAAATGTGTATACATCCATTATTTGTTTATGAGACAAATCCCAAAAGTATCAAACGAAATGAAATTTACTCGATCATTTGATTCCTTTTGCAAATGGCAGAAGAAAGATCATCTGATGAACGGATTTATTTGAACAAAGTCCCGATGACAGACCTTAACATGGAGATGAACGTGGCACCTAGCCCCAAGAGAAAGAAAATAGGACCCTTTGTTGATTTTATTAAGGTAAATTAAACCACAAAATATGCAACATATTTACAATAACAAGTTAACAACAACAAAAAGCATTTTGAAACGTTAATTGCATCATTCATATTTGCAGATGATAGAAGAAAGCGCATCAAATCAAAGAAAACTTTACTTGTTGGGTCTGGACTTGAACAAAGAGCCTAACATAGACATGAACGAAGACTATCCTGGTGTAGATCTGAATGTGGAGCCTGGTCCTGACATAGACTTATCCTTAATCTGAGATCGTGATTTTCTGGTGAACTCCAAAGTCGGAAACCCATGAAGGCGTAATAACAAATATGTAATATAAATAACGAAAACAAAAAAAGTCCTTCTTAATTTGCTTTTTCTTTTTTATCGTTATTTTTATATAATACAATGTAATTCTCATATTTGATATGATTAAAGTTGTAAAGCGTTATTCATATATAAACATTGAGGTTTTACATAAACAACTTTTTCTAGAGTTGTAATTTTATATTGTTGGGGTATATATCTAAATCTAATGGTTTTAGATCTTCATTCACATTTAATTATATGCCCCAAAGAATAGCAATGTTTTTTTTTTCTTTCACTAATGGATTTTATTATGTCATAATATTTTAATAGATTTTATTCTTTTTCTGACATCTCTGTTTTGATGATTTTTGTCATTGAATGAAAAGTGAGAAATGAGAAAATTTATTTGACCCTCCTCAAACCCCTAGAAATACAATCCCTAAAAATTCCATCGTCGTTTCTTGATTCGTTCGATCGCTGACGACGGCTTCTATCAGATCATGTGTGAGAAGATTCTTCTTTTGTGTGTGTATGGGACAAATGGTAGTCATATTGACAATTCTCCAGGTATATAAAATCATGGGTCTCCTCTCATTTGTATCTTGGCTTTGATTCTCCTGGGAAAATACATGAGGCCCAGAAAAATCTTATTTAGATTTATATCTTCTTTTGATTAGAGGCGAAATGTGAAGATCTAATACTGTTTGATTCAATACTGTTCTTAGATTCGAGATTTTTTTTTTTACTTTATAGGTTATTCATGGATTCTTGGTTTGACCTTATTCGTAAAAGTACTTTGATATTACGGAGAATGATATGACTTTCATTTTCATGAATTCCTCCCATTTGATTTGTTACTTGTAACCTTTTTGTTTTGAAGGATCATCGTCAGATATAAGAAATCGATTACGACTGGTTGTGATTTCAAGGGAATATGAATATCTAATCCTCTTTTCTTGAGTATTGTTCTTAGATCTAATCCTCTTTCCTTTGCGTTCACATTTTGCTAAGGAATGATAACATTCTGGAAATAATAGATCAATTCATCACTAGCAAAGACTCAGTTTTTATAATATCCTTCGCAGGAGATGCAATGACAACCAAGAAGACATTGAAACAAATGCTGAGAGAGATCTATGTATCATGCAAGTTTACACAAGCATCTAAGCAAACCATTTACTCAGACTCAGGTATATAACATATCAAAAACCTCTAAATCTATTTGTCATTCCCTTTGATAGTTACAGTCCAGAAGCATCCATGTGAAGTGAGATAACAGTAGACTAATGGAGGAATAGTTATATGTCTTGCTGATCATTAATGAGTTTTGATTTTTGTTTAGCAGTTGAGAAAAAAACTTAGAACTATCTACTCATGAATAGACCAAGAGAAGGAAGGAAGTAGCTAAGTGCCGAAGTGGTCACATAGATATATATCAAGTTATTGAACGACCTATGACATCAAGGAAATAGGTTTATATTAGTCATTCAAATAGATTTCTCACTACAGTTTGTTTTGCCGGTTTTTATTCTTTATTGTTTGGTCTTATCTTTTTATAAGTATAATATTCTAATGGTTAAAAAAGCATAAGTATGGAGTATACCTAGAAGCAAGCGCTACAAATGCAGATAGCGAGTAGCAAATAAGGAAAGTATTGATCTTTAATCACACGCAAGAAAGGCTGTTGAGGGTACGATTATCTTTGAATACTAAAACTTAATTATCCAAGAAAACAATTATTGGGGTTATTGAATGGAGAAGTTTATTTGATTTGTTTCCCTTCTTTTTTCTTATTGACTTTTAGAAGAGCAAGATGCTGTTTTTACAGTTATCATTAAGGACTTTATAATCTATTTTAATATGAGTTATGCTCCATATCTGTTTTGGTAGAGTTAATAGTTTTATGCCTAATGAAATTTATCTGATGATGAGTCTATCTTTTCCAAACTCAGTATGAGAAGAATCAGCAAGGAAAATTAAGGAAAGATGCACAAAACCACCTGAAGAAGATGGGAATGGCGTAGACTTTCTGATCTAACTGGTAATCATTTTTTTGTCTCTTTTCTCCATTTTGACTAGTCCATGGGATCATATGTCTATCTTCTGCTCTGAGCAATTGATTCATGTGTGAATCTGAGCTTACATGAAATGGGAAAATTTGCATCTTTTTTGTTTGAAAAAAATCTAAAAGAAGAATGATCTAGATCTACTTCCATGCTCTCTACACTGAAACATGACTAATCCTTTTTCATTGTCAGTTTCTGTAGCTTGCATCTTAAGTGCTTAAAACAGTCCAAGCATAGTGCAACAGTTGGAGAAGAAGGCAAAAAAGCAACCGAAGACTAAGAAACGAGTGTGAACCCTAATAGAGAGAATAAACTGTTAAACGTATATTTCCGTTAACCAATGGCGGAACCAAAGAGAAAGGCCAAAAACCATTAAGCAGAGCTGTAATTAAAAGATGAGTGTATTGTCAGGATTGAACTAGCAAACCCTAGTCAGAAAAGTTGTCAATCAATTCCGCCAAAGAAGATTTAGATGCAGGTGGAAGGAAATGTTCGGATCAAGAGAAGGACGAAGAATTACAATAACAATAGATAGAGTTTGGATTATTTGTGAATGTTTTGATCTCGAAATGTAGAGATACAGTTCGTAATCATGGTATCAATCCATCTGAGAAGCAAGTAAGGGGATCGATGAAATGCTGCGATTCATAAAGCCTATTATTTCCTTCTCTTCTAATTTAATAGATCGTTGCTTGCTATGCAAGAATAATGAGGATAAATATGTTTCATACAATTGGTGTTAACGACTTAAAGGGTGAATAAATATGAAACTATTGATATTCATCTCGTCTATGTTAGTTTTTGTTCTTTCAATAATTTGGATGGTTTAGGTTTCGGGTTATTGAGAATTTAGGTTATAATTTTTTCTTTTTCTGATTTGTATCGGATTTTGTGTGAAATGTACGTAGATATTGGAATCCGCATACAAATCAGAAAAAGGAAAAATAATGCGAATTTTTAATAAAATATTTATATATTTCCGTAAAATAACTACAATTTTTGTAGAAAAAAATTGAAACATCAAAAATAATAATAATTTATTATTATTATCTTTATATAAGAAGGAGTAAATTTAATCATGTAAGATCAAATAGAACATACAAAAATAAATTTTCTTAATTTAAATATATATATATATATATATATATATATATTTAATTGATATATTTTTATTTTTTAATTTATTTATTTTTGTTTCTCAATACACATATCAAAATTTTATCGACTAAATCGTCATATGTTGCAATCTTATAAATTACTAACTTTCATATATTTAACTTTATATAAAAAGATTTCTCATATTTTTTTCGGTGGATCCAAACTTTTTCTGGATTTTATCAAATTCTGACAAACTGTAGAGATGTTTTTCCTTTTTGCTTGACTTTTCTTTTGGAATAGAGTAATTTAGCACTTCTATTGGATGGATCGACAGGTATATATGAACTAAAATGTTGTTTATTTGATTAAGAAATGAGGTGGATGTTAAACCTTAATGATTACAAGCATAATCAGTATAGTTAGAGTTTCCCTATAATGAAACTAATAAAGGCTTTGTTATCGGCTTTCACAATGGATTGATTGATAAGAAGAGATCATCCATTGAAATCAGCGGAAGACTCAGTTCGTTGATAAAGATGACCAGTCGACACTGATTCATCAACAACTCTTTCCAATCTTTGCTCTAATGATGCCATGTTTGGTCCTTGTTTGTATATCGTGTTATATAAATCATATTTATCTAGTTTTATACACACGTATCAAGAGTTCCACGTATCAAGGACGTGTCTTGATGCGCACGTGTTAGATTTAATCTTGTTTTGTGCTACACTTGGGCTTTGTACCTTGATGTACTTGCCTTTTTGGGCTTAATCAATAATATGATTCGTCAAAAAGACAAATAAAGAGAGAGTGAGAGTTTGAGATCCTAGTCAATGGTGAATTGGAGAACACATAAAACCCCAAAACAAGATTGAATCTAAATTTTGGGCCGTTTGGTCTCATCCTTTAATTCCCAATCTTTCCAATTTCCAAATTCGATTAAGATTTGAATCTCCACGTCAACTGAATAAGAAAAACAAAACAAGAAAATGGACCAACGTTAAATTGTATGTACTCAAAATAATAGTTCGAGAGAGAGACCTCAGAACCCACAAATTTCGATATTAGTTGGTTAATTGTTTACAAAACATGGTTTATTGTTTTTGAAACAGATTCTAACCATATAAATCAATTTAAGACATGATTTTAAAACCCGATTACATCTAATAAATTTTCAACTCGAAGATATATAACATAACATAATATAATAAAAATATTAACAAAGAAGGTGTCTTTAACAAACAAAAAAAAACATAATAAAATGTTAATTAGAAACGCATCTAACGTTATACGATCGTTTTCGTTAAGAAAATAAATCATCAAAAAAAACAATATATATTCCATTTTTGGAGTGCACCCTTCCACTCTCACATATATTTACTTGTTTGCCCTTATTATTTTATATATTTCTACTTTTATCCTTCATCTTCCCTCGAATTCAACCTCTCTCTCTGCTGCAACAATAAATAAAGGAGAGAGAGAGTCTGAGATCCTCGTCGTCAATGGTGAAACAAAACGCAGCTGGATAAACTCACACACAAAAACCCTCACAAACCCAAAAATAAACTTCCACAAAAAAAAAAAAAATCCATCACCATGCCTTCCGAGTTAACTCAGGAAGAACGATCCGAGCTTGCTCAATCCATCGCCGAGTTCCACACATACCAACTCGGTCCCGGAAGCTGCTCCTCACTCCACGCGCAGCGAATCCACGCGCCGCCGGAGATCGTCTGGTCGGTCGTTCGGCGATTCGACAGGCCCCAGACCTACAAGCACTTCATCAAGAGCTGCTCCGTCGAGGAAGGGTTCGAGATGCGCGTCGGATGCACGCGCGACGTGATCGTGATCAGCGGATTGCCGGCGAACACGTCGACGGAGAGGCTCGATATACTCGACGACGAGAGGAGAGTGACGGGATTCAGCATCATCGGAGGCGAGCACAGGCTGACGAATTACAAATCGGTGACGACGGTGCACAGGTTCGAGAGGGAGAACCGGATCTGGACGGTGGTTCTGGAATCGTACGTCGTGGATATGCCGGAGGGAAATTCCGAGGACGATACGCGTATGTTCGCCGATACGGTCGTCAAACTCAACTTGCAGAAACTCGCGACCGTAACCGAAGCTATGGCTCGTAACGCCGGCGACGGAAGCGGCTCTCAGGTGACTTGAGACGAAACAAAAACAGAAAATTATATTAAAAAAAAAACGAAGCTATATATATATATATATTGGAAAAAATGGAAAATGAATTTGTTTTGTTTTTTAAATCTCTTTTTTCGGGAAATGTTATTTACGGTGCTTCTTCATATCAGATTCTACTCTTTTGTCTATTTTAACCTTCATATTTTACTACTATGCTGAAAATGACATTAATATACACTGCAAGGTTACTTCGGACATTTAGCATTGTGGATAAGTAGGAATCCTTCCTGTTTTGGAAGGTCTATTCTTGAGACTCGGTCAAAATTTTCGTCTACGCAACAAAAACTGTCATAAAAAGTGAAAAACCATACGAGAAAGGTAGATTTTCATAATGGATCAAAATGGATTCTCGTGATAGGTTTTTTTTTTAGGTTAACTAGACTTATCGTGATAGGATTTTCACGTGTATATCCTTTTTTGGTAAAAAGTTGATTTTTCACGTGTGTTTTGTTGTTATTCTATACTTTATTTGATTGTAAATTAAATGTCATTTTAGTTGTCTTTCTATTTCAAAAAATAAAATTGTTAAAAATTTATGTAAAAGTTGGTATAATAAAATAAAACCTTTAGTCAAAAACAATTGGTGTAAAATACATAATTTTAATATTAGTTAAAAACTAATAAACAATATAAAATAAAACAGCTGACAGAATATTAAGAAATTAACTTAAAATAGCAAACTAATACAAATTGTCAAATTCTAGTCATCTTATGATTTGACCCAAAAAAAATATTATAGTCATGTTAAGAATGTCAAAAGAACGACATTAATTGTAAAACTGAAGAAACAGTGGTTTAGTCATGATTTAGTCTATGGTATTCATCTTATTTATGTAAGTTTTCTTGTCTTTCAAAAGTTGGACTCTTGTAAAATAAGGTGGTCAGAGAATAGTATACCCCTATTGTTAGATTTAGCGAATGATCCATATGATATTTTAATGTTTATCATATTCATACTTAAATTGTATAACCCTATTTTTGAGCGATTGCTTAAAGAATTGTTGCATAATTTCGTAAAAAATATTTTACACATCCACATAACTATTTTTAGGTGTAAAACCACCGAACTATTTACAATTAACAGAAATACGAATTACTAAGCAGTCCACACTATTGTGGGATTTTGGTGATCTTAAATTGTTAACCAGGGAAAAAAAGTTGTAAAACGATAAAAACCACTTTATTACTTTTTGATCGAGAAAAAAAAAAGCTATTTTACTCTTACAAAAAAAAAACAAATTAGGGAAGGAATCTACAGAGGAAGAGATGAAAAGACGAACAAAAACCCATATGTAGAAGTGGTTTAACGAAAATGGACTCTCATTCTATTTTCAAGAAAGGATCAAAAAGTGCGTGCCGTTTTACATGCCTAGTGAATATTTGGATTCAGGCAACCTTTACACTGACTTTAGTTAGTGTCAGCCTGTGCCCCACTTGAACATATCTCACATTTGTTTATTTTTATTTTATTAGAGAATTTGTTGTGGGCGATCCATTATGAGGCGGCAATTTTTAACTTTTCATTATTTTATTATTTACACATATATTATATTCTCGAATTCGATTGGATCGAGACAGAGAGTGAGCCACTTCTCTGTTAATTATTTTTCTTTTCTAATTGTCATACTTTGAAAATCGATATCTTCCTAATTAAGGCAAAGGTGATGATGCTGTTGCAAGTTGCCAACTTGGTTAATTTTTGCAACTTGCCAACTTGGTTATTAAACACCGACATAAAGTTAAAACGTTAAAACAAATTTATCGAAGAAGACAAAAAAATATTATATATACTTCGCAATATGAAAATGTTAAAACGAAGTAGACAGGGATGATCCATAAAGAAATAAAAATGTTGCATGTACTTGATCTTGAAGTTGATGGTGGTGAGCCAATCAGAAGGTCGATATGTTTTAGCACTCACCTACTTTAATGATTAACATCGTTAACGTCAAATCTTTCTTTCTTTCATTTCTTTAGTTATTTAAATCTGTAATCATTAAATTAAATTGTACCTTGGAATATTATTTTAGGGGTAACAACATAATAGTTGATCTTAAAAAACTATAAAAGATAGTATTATTATAATAGAAGAAATCTTAAGCAAATCGGTCCTTTAATAATCTAATCTAATTTAATTTTACGAGATGAAAAACGGAATACGACTATTTCAAGAACAACAAACGATCGTTATGTTCTCGTATGAAGACAAAATGAGAAATAAAAAGAATTTGCGAAAAATTCCAAATCTAATTGCACATTGATGGATGTGCAAAACACATTTTCATCAAATGTAGTATTATTTTAAAATTTAATTTTTAATTCTATATTTTCGATGTAGAATGTAATATAAAAACAATTTTATCTTTATTGATTTAATATTTTAATGAAAAAGAAATATTATTTTGTATAAATAAAGAATAAAACAAAAATTAAATAATTTCTTAAATTTGTATGAAATGTGTTAACACTTTTGTGAAAAAGAAGAAATATTATCCTAAAAATTAACTTCATATATACGGTTGAATTTGAAACTCAAAAGATTGACTATGAAATTTTAAATTATCTAACTGTGAATTTAATAATATATTTAATTAATCAAAAATTGTAAAAATTCAAGTTCGACTTATAAGAGAATTAGAGTTTGTGGATTTAAAGAGAGATTTTACTAGAATGAACTGGAATTTTGACAAAATATACGGAGGTTTAAGTCGTCAAAATAAGAACGTCGATCTAAACTTTTAAGGAAAGTAAATCAAGAGAGAACAACAAGATATGCTTAGTTTGCCTTAGGTCATGGACTTCCCATATTTATAGCTGATCAGGTCGGTCTTCGATGTGCGTTTAGAATAGGAAAGTCTTTTTGCCGACAAGATGGAACTTTCTTTTTTCCGGGTTGCACGATAAATGGAAGATTTCCATTTATTTCGCCGACCTGAGACTTGTTAGATGGGCCGACCAGAATTCATATCGGGCTTGTAGAGATAGTGCGAATCTCATCTCTAACAGTACGTCCCCCCAGTTCGGCAAGTGATGATGCGTTACTTGGCGAAGTTTTGTTCGGTATGGACTCTGGTCGGCTGTAAAAAGAGTTAGAAAATAAATTAAAATTTATATGAAATTTCTGACCGGCACTATGACGAGAGTCAGATTGTGAATCTAGGCGCGAAAAGTTCCCGCCAAAGGTGGTGTAGACTAGACCTAGATCTGCGCATGCAGAACTAGGTTTGACACGTGTCAACCATGAGAGGAGGAAATTGAAGAGGCCGATTAAAAATAAATACGAAGAAATGCGAAAAGTCACCGAACTCATGATGACTCTCGGTAACCGTCCAGATTTTTCTATAAATAAAGGGGACTCGGCTTCCATTTCTTCACTTCTGCATTTCTTAGCGAAACTCTGTCCAATTCAGGTCTGCTCCTTCTCTCTCTTCTCTGTTTATTTTGTTTAGAATTTTTAGATCTGCCGATTAGACCTCCACCGTGTTTCGTTCTGAGCGCCGATCAAACATTAGTAAAAGCTTGAAAATAAGGGAAGGTCGACCAGGGTCGAAGGAAATCAGATCGGCACATAAGAAAGCTGATGAGATCCGCGTCTCCCTAGAGGAGTTTCTTCAGATGTCTAGGGACGACCAGGTCGTCAGAAGCCGATCGAAGGGAAAACAGGTCGTCGTTGAGGGATCAGAGTCAGATCGGTCTTCGGATGCGAGCGATTTATCTGCATTGGTTTGGGCATTCCAGGAACGCGTTCGAGAGAAGAACCAACAAGCTGCGGCCGATCGATTCCACGCCGACCAAGTCGGAACCGTCCAGAGATCTGGGGAAACATCATCCAGGGTTCAATTCGAGATTCTCGAGTTACGAGATGAAGACGATGTGAGAGGCGGGTCGAACGAAATGATTATCTCGGACGAGCTAAACGCCATCATCGTTGAGGATCAGGTCAATCAATTCGGCATTATCGATATGAATCCGCCAGTAAAGAAAGTTAAAAAGCGAAAGGGGGAGTCGGTAATCAAGCCGATCTACGACAACGCTCTCAGGGTGATACCGACCAAATCCACCTTGGAATCTCTGGTTACCTTGAAGGAAGAGTGCAACATTGGCCCTGAAGTGATCTTCATGGTTCCAAGCCCGTCAGAGCGACCGTGGGATGCTCCAAAGGGATGGCTATGTCTCCACGAGTGCTTTTTCACGGACTTCCATCTCTGGTTCCCACATCCGAGGCATCTTCTGGAATTTGCCGACCACAAAGAAATACTGATCTGCTAATTCACCTATGCGACGATACGTCTGATTGTCAGCATGCTAGTGATGTCGATTAGGCATGATATCCCGTTGAGTCGAGCAGCGTTTTATGCTATGACGAACACCAGACGCACAAAGGCAAATTTGAGGAACCCGGGTTCGTATTATACGAGTATGAAGACTCGGTACAACATCGTGACTGACGGTCACAAAACCAAGGTGGCGGATTGGAGAGATCGATATTTCTTTGTGCTAATCAACAAGTTTTCCATCACCGATACCGATAAAGATATCCAGATCAGAACGAAATGGGCGGAGGTCATGGGTAGAGACATGACTGATATGAAACATAGCGTAATTCTGTTGTTTTGGTTTGCTGATCAAATCGTCTTTATTTTGCAAGAAACAAGCTTCTTCCTTTCGTTGACAATCCTCTTGACATCGACGATATCTCAGATCGATTCACAGCGATTAGTGCGATAACTTGGCCCGAGATCACAGGGGAAAAGATTGCGAGGACAAGAGGTTCGTTTAATTTGCTAAGCCTGCTTGACATTTGGGTATTTTCCAGTTGATCTAACTCCTTTTTTTTATTATTCGTCAGCTGCGCTTGAACGGTACTCCCGACGACGAGAGAGAATGAAATCTGTCACTTTCAAGGATCTGTCAGCCGATCTAGAGTGTGCCCTCGGATCTCCTGAAGTCCAAGATACAGAAAATCTTGCGGCTAAGAAAATGGCCGATAGGAATGCTGCTAGAAAAGCAGAGAAAGCTCGCAAAGAGGCCGAACTAGAAGGACAGAGGAGTGATGACGGTCCGAGGCATGAAATCGCAGGTGGAAACGAAGGCAGGGAAGGAAGCCCTGTTAACTCGAGGAAGCGGAGTTCGGAAGAATCTCCTGAAGAGCCACGGACATCAAAGAGGTCTCGTGCTGAGAGACAACTACGCCCGTTCGGGTTCTCGTACTAGTATCGTGGAGATAGTCCAATAGTGCACGATTCAGTGTCCCGTTTCGATCACTTCCTTAAGCTGAGGGACAATCCAGCAGGTCCACCTACGGATCCTCGTGGGAACATTCGCAGCGATGAGATTGCACACTACGCGCATGATCAGGCCAAGGTATTTTGTAAAAATA